TTTTCAGTGCATTTTTATTTATTTTGCAAGTTTATCATAATTAAGTACGTGACCAGGGATGCCAGATGATCCGAATTGGGCAGAAAAGTTCCGAATTATTGGGCTTTTTCCGATCGCTTTCTGACTATCCGAATTCATCCGAATCTTAAAATTTTTCCGAATTTTTTCCGAGTTGTGATATTTTTCCGCATTTCACTTTATTGTCATTTTACTATTGATTTTACTACGTAACTGATACTGCGCCATCTTCCTCTTCGCATTGTTATTGGATAATTCACTATATATAGACTGATCAAGTACAATATATACTTGCTTCGATCTAAAGTTTGTTTGAATCAGACTGAATTTTTTGTTAAGGCGAAAAAATCCTTAGAACAAATACTTTTTTTTAAAATGAACTGAATTTCAATTTTAAACGTACATGCAGCTTTACTTATTAATTCTTGGAAGTGACTATGTACACATATGTGTACATAGCCAAGTGGCTATGTACACACGAGTGTATATAGCTGACTGACTATATACACATATGTGTATATAGCCCTTTGGCTATGTACACACAGGTAGATATAACCAATATATTAGTAAATATGAAGTCATATTATAATATTATATGTTTTTGTTGATTAATATATATTAAATATTTAAGCTTTTTCATAATTTTATTAATTCTTTATTACATACAAATAAAGTATAAATCAAATAAAGATCAACAACTCAACAGCATACCTAGTGCTTTCTCTCTTTGGTTTTAAACGAAACAATTAAATTTCATTATTTTCAATACATTTAACATAATGATTACGTAAAAGATATCTGATCATAAAACATTTAATGGAACATCTCTATCTCTAATGCTTTATCTGTTTAAACTGAATAATTCTTATAAACTTCCTCGTTTTTGGATCGTTATGAGTTAAATTTTGATTTTTCATAAAAACAATTTTATTTAATTCCATATAGCGTTTTAAAACAAGTAACGCTCGTCTATGGACTCGCTTAGCTCTTTCTCGTAGAAGAACTATTTTCTTATTATCAGCAAATTATTCATTTAGTATACATATGTTATTCATCTCTGGCTCTCTCATATCCCTGCTCTCTAAATCATTGAATCATTCCAATCGAGCCCGTAATCAAATCACCCGTTCTTGATTACTTTTGATGAAGCTTTATACAATAAACTAATAACTATTAATTAATTAATTAATAGCTAATTAATGGAAACAGATCACAGATTTAGACTTCGTCATTGATTAACTATGGTGAATTTTTATTTAAAATAATAATGATTAATAATTAGTTAATAACTAATTATTAATTAATTAATTAAAACTGATATCAGATTTGAATTCTTTACCTTCAATAACCCGCAGTGAAGTTTTACGAAAAATAATAATAATTCATAATCAATTAATATTTAGCTAATAATTAATTAGTAATAAGTTAGCTAAAACTGAGCTCAGATTTGGATTCCCCATCTTCGATAAACTTTGGCCACGTTTTATAGAAAACATTAATACTTAATGAATAGTTAATAATTAATTAATAATCAGTTAAAACTAGTCTTAGATTCGAACTCCTCATCCTCGATTACCCTTTGGTCAAGTTTTATTAAAAATATTAATTATTAATTAATTAATAATCAATAATTAGTTAATAATTAGTTATAACTAACTTCAGATCCGAACTCTTCATCCTCGATTACCCTTCGGTCAAGCTTTATGGAAAATAATCCTTTTTGTCCTCACCTTCTTTTGGACCAATCACTGAAGTGCGGACATGCAAGCAAGCAAACAAACAATTTATTCTCACAAGACTCTTCTCTACGAGAAAGAGAATAAATTCACAATATAATCGAGCCGATTCTTGGTTTGGTCTTGGTTCATCTTTTATATGTCTTCGAACAGGACATCTATGATGACATACATACATTACATTTTGGTATTGAACATAGTTAAATAATTCTCTCGTTATTTTTTCATCATATTTCATTGTAGAACGTTTTATATTCATTGGTTGATAACAATTAATGCACCAATTTTTAAATTCTTTCTCAAAATGTGCCCAACTATCAAACTGCTTTTTAAAGAGAGAATAATTGTCTTGCTTTATTTTTCTGGTTGAAGAATTACGATAAGCACGAAACAATCATACTATGGGCTATTTAATTTCAGTCTGAATTTACCAAATAAAAATAATACTTGATTTCAAACTGAAACGTGAGTCTAGGAGTGAGGGGGGGGAGTGACTGAGGGTGTGGGTGTTGGTCTGGGACCTACACACACACCCACACCCATGGTGCGGGTGTGGGCGCGCGAGTGAGGGTGAGGGTGTGCTTGTGGCTTTGTGTACTATAGGTTTTAGTCCCCTGCACAAGGGACTAAGCGGGGACTAAGCTTTTTGTGGAGGGGACTAAGGGGGACTTTGCAGGACTAGGGGGGACTAAGGGTTTTTAGTGGGACTACGTAGTATCAAACGAGAAAAGTTTGATTCGGAAGAAGTTGGTGCGGTTTTTTTGATTTTAGAATTCAGTTTGAAATAAAAAAGCCCATAGACTCGAAACAATATACTTAGATTTAACTATAATAGCAACATATACCTTTCTGTAACAGACATTGAGAATGATTATGATAGACTTTTTAATAATATAAGAGGATTTATTTAGTACTATAAATCAGGTTATATGAAATCGGTCCATTTTATTATAACAATTATCAATTCATTTCATTTCATTTGAAAAACTATTAATTAGCTCGATAGAGAAAAAGATTAAAGTAAAGATTAATCAATCTATCTTAATAAAGATTATGTTCTCAGATGTCAAGTTATTTGACTTTTTCTATTTTTCAGTTTCCTACTTTTAAACCAATCAACTAAGAAAAGAAGATATAAAATTTTTCTTTCTATAAGTGATCGACAAAAAAATATGATATAATGACGAGGAAAGATAAGCGCTAACACTAGATGGTTATCATGTATTCTATTTAAAATAATGAAATTCAACTGTTTCGTTTAAAACCAATCAGAGAAAGCACTAGAAATGCTGCTGAATTATTGATCTTTATTTGACTTAATTTTTTTCTATATGATTTATACTTTATTCGTATGTAATAAAGAATTAATAAAACTATGAAAAAACTTAGATAATTAATTTATATTGATCAACAAATACATATAATATTATAATATGACTTCATATTTACTAATATGTTGATTATATCTACCTGTGTGTACATAGCCAAACGGCTATATAGACATATGTGTATATAGTCAGTCAGCTATATACACTTGTGTGTACATAGCCACTTGGCTATGTACACACAAGTGTACATAGCCGACGAGCTATGTACACATATGTGTACATAGTCACTTCCTTAATTCTTACGCTTTAGATTGAATTAGATTGACTATGGATGATGAATCTGATGATTCAATTATAACTATGAGTATGATTGAAAAAGAACAAGAAACTATGTCATTAACAATTACCACCGAAACAGCAACAACACCAGTTTCTCGTAAAGAAAAGAAAAAAAAAGGTATTTTTAAAAAAGATTGGTTAAATATAAAAGAATATTCACCATGGTTACAAGAAATAAAAAATGATCCTACAAAAGCTCGATGTAAAGCTTGTTTAAGAACATTTAGTGTTCATTATGATGGAAAAACAGCTTTAAAAAAACACATGAACAGTGATCTTCATAAATCATGCATAAAATCGTTTACTAACACGTCATCGATAGTATTGCCTGCACCTTCTGTTAGTGAAATACAAAAAATTTCAGCAATAGAAGGTACTTTTGTGTACCATGGTGTTGCTGCTGAATTACAAATTAGAAAGAATGCTAATATTTCTTGTAAAGATTTTTATAAATTTATTTTATCTCAAGAAGATTTATTAAAAAAAATAGCATCAAATGAAAAATTTGATAAAAAGAAACGTATTCTTGATAAATGAACTTTAGTTTATTTTTTATACGAAAGTTTCGATTTGTAAACATATGTACATATTTTATTTTGTATTGTTTTTTTCCT